GGCAGTATTTCATTTAGATAACCTACGTGGTCTCAAATTATACTAGAAGGAGGAGATCCCTTAAGAAGTCGAAAGGAGGATCCATTTTTAAACTACTATATTCAAAGCTGAGAAACAAAGCCGGTTTGTTTACCAAATATTTACCTACGAAGTTGCCTTATGGAAAACATTTACGCGGTCCCAATTAAGAAGTTTATGTATGGATAAAGAATAAAGACAAGAGTGTTGACAAAGCCGTGGACGGCATGGCGGAGCAGTTCTATTTTATAACTTCCAAGGATCAGAATACGTTCTGTCAAGGGTGGCTTCATAGAGCCGCCCCACGCCCTGTCACTGTTGCCAGAGATTTATGCCCTCTAAGTGGGACAACAGACAAGATGGTTACGGCCTTGCGGCGCTCCTTTTAAAATTTACGGGTTTAATAAACACGGCTTATTAAAATTTGACATGCGTAAGGTAGCATAACAGGTCTCCTACACAAAGACAAAGACAGATATGTGCGTGTACATTCGGTTAATTTGTCTGAAGTTGTATAACAACATTCATTTTCTAAAAATTTAAACAATGTTATTAGAAATTGAATTACATTAAAAAGTGGTCAAAATTGAAAATTGCCGTGGATATGAGTTATTTGAGTTATTTTTGGCCTCTAGAATAAATTTCCGATCATAAAAACCCCGGCAGTTGCTTTATTTGCATGTTTTTGTCTACTTTTACTCCTTTTTTAGCATTTTAGACATACAGGGGGTAGCCCATCGAAAACGTACCGCAAGGCATTACAGGGTAATAAAGAACTTTTCGGCAAAATCCAAAAACAGCTCAAATTTGTTTCTGAGGGGTACAACTTTTGTTTGGCTCAAAAAGCATACCAAAATCTGCAACCCCCTAAGTGAGGGTGCTATCCCCTAAATTTTTTCAAATGGGAATGGGGGTCAAGTGGGGGTCATTAGAAAGGGCTTTTAATTCTCTATACATCGATTCTTACTTTTTGAAAATCGATTAATTATTTTAGAAAATATGCAGTTTTGAAAATACGAACAATATTTTTGACGAGAAATGCGAAAATCGATTTAATTTTACTTCAAAATTTACGGTATTAGTCAAGTAAATGCTGAAAATGTTGTCCGCCAACTTGCATACAATGATACAGGTTGTCTTCAAACCGTTGTCGAACATTCTGGAGCACTTGCGGTGTTACTTCGCGACATACATTAATGATTCGTCCTCGCAGATCTTCCAAGGTATCAGGTGGAGTGCTGTAAACTTTGC